GCGGGTATCAATTCAAGCATACAGCTATACTTACACTTTACGGGTATCAATCTAAGCATACAGCTATACTTACACTTTACGGGTATCAATTCAAGCATACAGCTATACTTACACTTTACGGGTATCAATTCAAGCATACAGCTATACTTACACTTTACAGGTATCAATTCAAGCATACAGCTATACTTACACTTTACGGGTATCAATTCAAGCATACAGCTATACTTACACTTTACGGGTATCAATCTAAGCATACAGCTATACTTACACTTTACGGGTATCAATTCAAGCATACAGCTATACTTACACTTTACGGGTATCAATTCAAGCATACAGCTATACTTACACTTTACGGGTATCAATTCAAGCATACAGCTATACTTACACTTTACGGGTATCAATTCAAGCATACAGCTATACTTACACTTTACGGGTATCAATTCAAGCATACAGCTATACTTACACTTTACGGGTATCAATTCAAGCATACAGCTATACTTACACTTTACGGGTATCAATCTAAGCATACAGCTATACTTACACTTTACGGGTATCAATTCAAGCATACAGCTATACTTACACTTTACGGGTATCAATTCAAGCATACAGCTATACTTACACTTTACAGGTATCAATTCAAGCATACAGCTATACTTACACTTTACGGGTATCAATTCAAGCATACAGCTATACTTACACTTTACGGGTATCAATCTAAGCATACAGCTATACTTACACTTTACGGGTATCAATTCAAGCATACAGCTATACTTACACTTTACGGGTATCAATTCAAGCATACAGCTATACTTACACTTTGCGGGTATCAATTCAAGCATACAGCTATACTTACACTTTACGGGTATCAATTCAAGCATACAGCTATACTTACACTTTACATGTATCAATTCAAGCATACAGCTATACTTACACTTTACGGGTATCAATTCAAGCATACAGCTATACTTACACATTACGGGTATCAATTCAAGCATACAGCTATACTTACACTTTATGGGTATCAATTCAAGCATACAGCTATACTTACACTTTACGGGTATCAATTCAAGCATACAGCTATACTTACACTTTACGGGTATCAATTCAAGCATACAGCTATACTTACACTTTACGGGTATCAATTCAAGCATACAGCTATACTTACACTTTACGGTATCAATTCAAGCATACAGCTATACTTACACTTTACGGGTATCAATTCAAGCATACAGCTATACTTACACTTTACATGTATCAATTCAAGCATACAGCTATACTTACACTTTACGGGTATCAATTCAAGCATACAGCTATACTTACACTTTACAGGTATCAATTCAAGCATACAGCTATACTTACACTTTACATGTATCAATTCAAGCATACAGCTATGCTTATACTTTACGGGTATCAATTCAAGCATACAGCTATGCTTATACTTTACAGCCACTATTTACGCCTACTTCATGCTATCTTCTCCATGTTTACATTTGGTGACCTTCAAGACTGGTGACCTTGAGAAATAGTCCCCCCCCCCTCGAAAGATAACCGAGTTTTATATCCATTTGATTACCACAGGTTGATTACAGCTTCGATCCTTGTGTACCGACTTTTTAAAAAATCGGTGCTAATCCAAAATACAAACCCGTTATAAAATTAAACATACATGCGTCATGATATATTTCAACACATAGGTACTAAATTGTCCTTGACACCGACCCCCACCCCCACCCCTCTCCATATTTTGTGCGTGGGGTGGGGGTGTGCAATGAAACACAAATCATACTTATGAAACACCTCACCGAGGTTCCTTCTGCCAGATAACACTGTCTTGTCAGTGCTTATTTTATCTCTTCACACGTCACAGGCCTACCACCAGAAGTTCTTATCTCAGACGATTCTACATTGAAGAATTACATTATAATTTTATTATCCTTAGCCACATTTTTTTTTCTAACACTAGTATTAAAAAAATTCATAAAAAACGTTTTAATAACAAGCTTTATGTACTAATGCACTAAAAAGTAGAAAATAAATTATAGACTACTATTTAAATAACTATAAAGAATAGCGTGGGTCACTTTAGTATCTATTGGATACCTTTATTAATATTTAGGAAGTGACCCACGCTTTTCTTTATAGTTATTTAAATAGTAGTCTATAATTTATTTTCTACTTTTTAGTGCATTAGTACATAAAGCTTGTTATTAAAACGTTTTTTATGAATTTTTTTTTAGTACTTTACATGTTTTTATTTACAATAGAGTTTCATGTCTAAAAACCATTGCGCGCCTATTGAACGTGATGGCGCAGCTATTGAACGTGATAACGCGCTTTTGCCGTGATGACGCGTTTGGATAGACATGCCTACTAATTAGGTCCAAATTTTAATTAATTCATAAAAAATTAATTAGGCATCCAATTAAGTCAAATTTAATTTCAGATTGCATTGTCTTCATGTCTTGACCCACGTGCAAACCGTGAACCGTATCGGTCAGTTAGAAGTGTCCGAATTTTCGCTCCGGCGTTTCGATCTAGACAGACAGACAGAGGAAGTGAGTTAAATAAAAGCTTGTAAAATTGACAGGTTTAGTTTAAAAAGAGAAGCCATTGTAAAATAATTAAAAAAAAACTACAAAAAACTTTAATTTGGTTCCAATTCAATGAGATTAAAAAAAAAAAAAAACTGGTCGCAGCATCGGAAGAAGGAACATAAAAATGACGTATAAAAAGTAACTTCCGGTTTGTTCCAGTTTTTTTAAGACCAGGTTGCCCTGATCACGTGATGTTTACAGCAGCGCGCATGCGTGCTCTGTTCTTCCATCTGGTTGACCTCATGTTGTCATGTTGTCTTTCATGCTGTCCGACATGTTGTCCGTCATCGACCGACATCTTGCAGATCTGAGTTTTACAATGAGTTTTCTATCAAGGTAGATGGCGCTCTTTCCATAAGTGACGTTATTCCTTACATTAATTTTGGTTGACGACGCAACTATTAGTTTTCAGTCTTTTAAAAATAAAAAAAAGTCTGATAAAATTTAAAAATAATTGCGTAAAGCTTTAAGTTAATTAATTCATTAATAATATATATCAGGGGCGTAGCGAGGGGGGGCGGGGGGTGCGGACCGCACCTTGTGACACCATTTAGGGGGGTGACACCAAGGCAAAAAATAGCAAAATATAGAGAAAAACTCGAGGGGGGGGGGGTGCAAATCGAAAGTTTGAAGGGGGGGGGGTGCAAATCGAAAGTTTGAGGGGGGGGGGGGTGCAAATCGAAAATTTGAAAGTTTGTCCCTGGGAAGGGTCTCTATGCCTCTGGGGGGGGGGGGGGGGGGTGACACCATTAAGTGCCGCACCGGGTGACACCCGACCTCGCTACGCCACTGATATATATGTTTCACTAAATAACATGGATTGAGAAAACTAGTTCCATGTTTTGATTTTTTTGTAGGGTCCCTGGTTCGAAATGTGGCCTCGAAGTCCTTGCCTTGTACACACACCAAATGTTTCTATTTTTACAGTCGTGCGGCTATTCCCGTTTCAAGTGCGCACCAGCGCGAAAATAGAGTTTTATTTTTAAACACGACAACGTTTAAAAAAAAAACACGATGGCGTTTTACGGTCGCTATTTCAAACTAAAGTCACTACGCATTTTAAATTTTTTTTTTTGGTTTAGATTAATTATTTGGAGATTTATTTTAATGATCTGACTTTAGAAGCACCACTACAGAATCGTATTAGGAGTCTTCTTCACCTGTAGGCAATATCAATGCTAGCGTCAGGTATGATCAGAGTTTCTTCCAGGCATCTCTTCGGCTTCGCCACCCCGAAAAATTTCTACCCCCCCCCCCCCGAACAAAATGAAATTTATATAATTTTTATAGAAAATATATACTTTTAACAGTGTCCGCCCCCCGCCCCCCCCCCCCCCCCCCGAAGAAAGTCTACAGCCCCCCCCCCCGAAAATTTCAACCCCCCCCCCCCCCCCGGAGAAAAAAGTCTGGAAGAAACACTGGGTATGAATAGGGTTACGATTACGGACTGTTTTTAGGTATGAGTTAGGTTAGTCTTGTAATCCAAATGTAACATCAATACGCCCTGCCGATTCAACAAATTGCATTTTAAATTTTAAAATTGCAACTATGCTTTAAAGATTATTTCGGTTATTTAAAAAAATAGACAATATTCTGTTATTTTATTTTTAGAAATATTAAACGTACCGATTTGCACAAGCTAAACAAGAGGGTTCCTGGCGTCCATGTACATGACCCTAGTTTGAGATCCCCCTTAACCCCCCACCCCCCATCGAAACACGCTTAAGAAATACCCCCCACCCAGAAACCCGTTTGTTTAATTGTTGAACGTTCTGGAATCAACGTCGCATCTGCAGTGTGTGTGAGTATTTCTTAGCCTCCCTTCGAGTTGAAATACCACCACCTCCAACAACATGTGGTATTCCCACTCACGGTCTAAAAATAGCACCAGAAGATGGGGCTCACCCCCACCCCCTCACCCCCTCACACATTGGTTCCTTAACACCTTTTCTCTTCTCTTCCCACCTTGTCTTTATTTACACGTAATAATACAATGTTAATTAAGACACCAGGCTCTGCCTTCAGTTGTTGAAGAAAAGAATTGCGAATGTTTTTTTATTTTTTATTATTTGAAAAAAATAATTCTTTCCTAGTTTCTTAGGAACCGCCAGCTGATTCTAATTATATATTAAAAAAATTAAAAATTGGGAGGGGAAAAAAATCAACAAACCTACGTAAAAGTTTTGTAGTTGAGGCATTCACACGAACCAGCACTCGATGGGTGAGTTGAGAGTTGATGGAGTACGCTCCCTTCTCTCGGTGCATGCCTGCTTGCCGCATCGGCGTTGAACCGTTTTGGACAGCCTCATCCGAGACACGCAAAACAAGGGGAGGGAAGCGGCAAGGGAGAACACTCTTCGGGTGCTCTCTTTTTTCTTTCTCCCTTTTAAATTCAGGGTTTTAAATAAAAAAGAGGGGGGTTGTGCGGTGAAAGGTAAAGCACTATACCGAGCATCTATCTCCTAGCTTTTGTCATCGGTTTGCTAGCTTGCTGAAGCTCAGTATGGCTTCTCCGTGTAACGAGAAGGGTTTCTGCGTGGGGGATGTATGTTCTACATGAGTGCTGGACTTTGGCAAGTTGAAGATTCGCGCTATTTTATTGGAATATTCTTTAGGGCTTTACTCAAAGGTACGGCTGATATCTAGAGCATAATTTATAACGTGGCTGGTAGTATTAATAGATTGTTATCTTATGTAAACAATATATTTCTACATAAGTACATCACGAAAATGTGTCAATGTATAACGAGACCTATATATATATATATATATATATATATATATATATATATATATATATATATATATATATATATATATATATATATATATATACATAATGTATATATACGTTATATATATGTGCTACATATAGAGCATTTCTTATTCATTAACTACACATTAAAGAAAAAAACCTCTATTTCAACCTCTTTGTGTCTTGGACCATACAAGTGTGTGTGTGTGTGTGTTTGTTTGTTAGTGTGCGTGTAAGTGTTACTGTGTGTAGCTGTGTATGTTATCGAAGAAATGAATGCTGTACGTCTTCATGTAGTTAAAGTACTCCATACCTCCCTTTATCAGTTAATGCAGTGTTATTATTGTGATTCTACCCAAACAATTCTAGCTAAAAATTGTTTTGTTGTTATTGTGATTGTACCCACACAAAAAAAATTAGCTAAAAATTGTTTGTTATTATTGTGATTCTACTCATAACATTTTAACTAAAAAAATGTTTTGTTATTACTGTGATTCTACTCATAACATTTTAACTAAAAAAATAGTTTTGTTATTGTGATTCTACTCATAACATTTTAACTAAAAGAAAAACTTGGTGTATGTATCATACATCTCACCACTGTCGGCATCTGTGCCAGGGTCACGTTGAGTGGCCCAAATCTCGAGCGATGCAAGAGATTACATACGAGATTTTGCTAGTTTAAACATTCCACGCTAACATGTGTGTACAGAGCGCCTTCACACAGCCACCTACAAACGCTGTATCGTTTTATTTTATACCCTTAGCCGAGGGTTTGATGTAGTGGAGAGAGAGAGAGGGAGAGAGAGAGAGAGGGGGAAGAAGGAGAGAAAGAGAGAGTATATAATGCGTTCAAACACTACATCCATGTTAAGAGCAGCTTCTGAAGGACAGTGTGGGAGGGGGTGGGGTGGAATTCCATGTTTACATTTCCCTGCCTCTGAGGGTGTGGAAAAAGGGTGCCGATTCGGGCGCCCAGTGGCTATTAATAAGGGGAGGTGCTGGGCGTTCATCTTCCAGACATGGTTGATAAATAAAGAGATGAAAACTGCAGAACTAACATAATTACAAATTTAATTGCACTTTAGCTTGTTAATGGTTTACTATTATTAGAAATCGTGAAGGTTCAATTAGGGCGTTTGTGTGTGTGTGTGTGTGTGTGTTGTAGAGGTGGGGTGGGCTCTGCTCTGTGTTCTATATCTATATATAGTATATCTATTTAGACCTACCCTATATAGACCTACCCTATACGCCCACGAATTCATGATTCCTATTAATAGGCTAACATGGTGATCCCCTCACATTTCACAACATCAAGGAGAAAAATAATTTCTTCTCTAAAAATTTTACAACTTCGTGATGTTAAAAAAAAACACGGTGCGCACGAACCATGCAAAGAAGGTGCGTAGTTTGATCGCTGCTGAAAATTTTATTTAAAATTATTTTTTTTTAAAAGCGCGGTGACAAGTATCTAGCACACCCCTGGGATTGCTAAATTCCGATTATCTGATTGGTATGCACACCACTGAATTCCGATTGTATGATTGGTTTGTTTATGTATAAGGGATTGATCAACGTATTAAAATATGCCTGCATGAGAAATTCGAAACAGTTCACGCGGAACGTTAGCAGGTAGCAGCAACACCGTAAGTGTAAATATAAATATGTAATAATAGTTAACAATATATATATATATATATATATATATATATATATATATATATATATATATATATATATATATATATATATATATATATATATATTATATTATATTTTATAATTAAATAATTTCATTTTCATGTGTTGTATTGTGGGATAAATATAAATAATTAACTTATTTTGAAATCTATCTCAGTTCACTAATTGCTGCCGTAAGGTGGTTATTTAATAGTGAATGTTTGATTCGATTTGTTGCATAAATAAAATGATCATTTTTATAAGACCGGGAAGATTTATCCCCAATAGTTATTCTCAATCAATGCAATGGCTTTGTTAACATTTGTGATACAACTCGCTGTTTTTCTGAAGTGAACGGGGCGTGGTTTGTCTTATAGGCCTACTCCATAGCCGCACAATTCTGTGTAGTTTGTTGAGAGGATGGGTTAGGGTTAGATTGTGGAGTTGCTCTTTTTTATGTGTAACAGCTTAGTGAAATCTGTTCCAGCTATATTTTCGGGTTAGCGAGCTTATGTTTTTTAAAACGTTTTTCTTAACTCAGCTTCGCGTTTGTTTGGTTGTTTGGTTGTTTGGATGTTTGTTGTTAAAATTGACATCGAAAATTAGCCCACTTCTGATTGCTCTAGAGACCTGAAATTTGGCATGCATGCTACTTTCGCCTAACAATTTCAGATGCAATCATAAAAACTAGCAATTAGTGACCGTAATTAGCTTAATTTAATTACGCCCCAAGGACCATAAAATTGAGGACATGATTTCTAAAGATACCGACAAGACTGGAGGCCTATTGGCACAGTTACTTCGGCCCCAATCGATGTGAGCGCGCTGGCCGTGATCGTATAGTGGTTAGTACTTCGCGTTGTGGCCGCGACAACCCAGGTTCGAATCCTGGTCGCTCAAGATTTTTAGTCCGTGTATTTATAAACGGTGGCCGGAAAGAACCGCAACGGAAAAAAGCGCAACGGAAAAAAGCGCAAATCAAAAAGCGCAACGGAAATAAGCGCACACGGAAAAAAGCGCAAAGAGAAAAAAGCGCACACAGAAAAAAGCGCAAAGAGAAAAAAGCGCAAACGGAAAAAAGCGCAAAGAGAAAAAAGCGCACACAGAAAAAAGCGCAAAGAGAAAAAAGCGCAAACGGAAAAAAGCGCAAAGAGAAAAAAGCGCACACGGAAAAAAGCGCAAAGAGAAAAAAGCGCAAACAGAAAAAAGCGCAAAGAGAAAAAAGCGCACACAGAAAAAAGCGCAAACAGAAAAAAGCGCAAACGGAAAAAAGCGCAAAGAGAAAAAAGCGCAAACGGAAAAAAGCGCAAATAGAAAAAAGCGCACACGGAAAAAAGCGCAAACGGAAAAAAGCGCAAACGGAAAAAAGCGCAAACAGAAAAAAGCGCAAACGGAAAAAAGCGCAAACAGAAAAAAGCGCACACAGAAAAAAGCGCAAACAGAAAAAAGCGCAAACGGAAAAAAGCGCAAACAGAAAAAAGCGCACACAGAAAAAAGCGCAAACGGAAAAAAGCGCAAACAGAAACAGAAAAATGCGCAACCAGAAAAAACACAAAGAAAAATGTGCAAAAGAGAAATTTAGCACAAAGACCATATGGACTAGATGACACATTTATACATGACTGTTAGGGCTGCTTTGAGAGTGTCGTGTTTGATCACGTGATCTACTACCATTTAAAGCGTACCACTACCATCTGCATTCCCATCACCACGATACCACGATACAGGCGATAATCACTTTACACAATGCCTATTATTTTCTTGGTCAATAATTATTCAACTACTATTCTCGTATAAACATAAAACTATCGACATTACACGAAGTATCTTTCACATTCTCCCTAGTCAAAAAAGTATCGGCGAAGTTCGTAAGTTTCGTAAACTGTACTAGACATCTTTTTTAATGAAAATTCATTGACATCATTGACATATGTTACATATAGTTTGGTAAGTATGTAGGCGGGTAGGTGGGTAGGTGGGTAAGTGGGTAAGTGGGTAGGTGGGTAGTTAGGTAGGTAGGTAGGTAGGTAGGTAGGTGGGTAGGTGGGTAGTAGGTAGGTAGGTAGGTGCGTCATGATGTGAAAAAATATTAAATACAAAATTGTTATTTTGGTGCGAACGAATGTTGTTACGAGAGATATGACGAATGCATGTTTGATGACGCGGATGAAAGAGAGTGAAGTTTTGCCGTAGGAACGGGTTGTTATAGTATGCAAGCTAGGTAGTTCGGACTAGGGAGAATGTGAAAGATACTTCGTGTAATGTCGATAGTTTTATGTTTATACGAGAATAGTAGTTGAATAATTATTGACCAAGAAAATAATAGGCATTGTGTAAAGTGATTATCGCCTGTATCGTGGTATCGTGGTGATGGGAATGCAGATGGTAGTGGTACGCTTTAAATGGTAGTAGATCACGTGATCAAACACGACACTCTCAAAGCAGCCCTAACAGTCATGTATAAATGTGTCATCTAGTCCATATGGTCTTTGTGCTAAATTTCTCTTTTGCACATTTTTCTTTGTGTTTTTTCTGGTTGCGCATTTTTCTGTTTCTGTTTGCGCTTTTTTCCGTTTGCGCTTTTTTCTGTGTGCGCTTTTTTCTGTTTGCGCTTTTTTCCGTTTGCGCTTTTTTCTGTTTGCGCTTTTTTCTGTGTGCGCTTTTTTCTGTTTGCGCTTTTTTCCGTTTGCGCTTTTTTCTGTTTGCGCTTTTTTCCGTTTGCGCTTTTTTCCGTTTGCGCTTTTTTCCGTGTGCGCTTTTTTCTATTTGCGCTTTTTTCCGTTTGCGCTTTTTTCTCTTTGCGCTTTTTTCCGTTTGCGCTTTTTTCTGTTTGCGCTTTTTTCTGTGTGCGCTTTTTTCTCTTTGCGCTTTTTTCTGTTTGCGCTTTTTTCTCTTTGCGCTTTTTTCCGTGTGCGCTTTTTTCTCTTTGCGCTTTTTTCCGTTTGCGCTTTTTTCTCTTTGCGCTTTTTTCTGTGTGCGCTTTTTTCTCTTTGCGCTTTTTTCCGTTTGCGCTTTTTTCTCTTTGCGCTTTTTTCTGTGTGCGCTTTTTTCTCTTTGCGCTTTTTTCCTTGTGCGCTTATTTCCGTTGCGCTTTTTGATTTGCGCTTTTTTCCGTTGCGCTTTTTTCCGTTGCGGTTCTTTCTGGGAACAACCTTTATAAACACTTTTTTAAAAAACCACGTTTTTCATGTGTA